CCCCATAGCAAAAACCCCTCCAAAAAAAAAAAAAAATCCAAAAGTACAGAAAAACATAAGAAAGAAAACACATTACCCAAGTGCCTTCACCAGGAGAGAAGCAAACGCAGAGGAGCTACAGGCTTGTCTCTCCAGCCCCTTCTGCGCACTCGGCAGCCTGCATCGCCCCGTGCCATCTCACCTAAGTCAGGTGACCTCTGGGGCTGGGTAGGTCTCCACTGGGCAATGGGCACCACGCTGGGGTCTACCCCAGAGTTGCCGGGAGCACTCCTGCCCATTGTGACAACCAGAACCACCTCCAGACATTGTCAGATGCTCCCTGGGCCAGAACCCCCAGTTGAGAACTGCTGAGATCAATGAGCCACGAACCTCCGTATAAACCCATCTGAAGACAGGGGAGAGGGAGGGTGTGTCCTGTGGTTTCTGGAGGGCTGAGAGTCGAGACCCACGCGGGTAGAGGAGGGGCTTTAGATCAGTTAGCTGGCTCCCCCGAGCCGCAGCTCCGCAGCCACACGCCAGGACGCGACAGGGCAGTGTCTGCGTTGTGAGTGGCTGAGCTCAGTGTGGAGGGGGATGCCCCGTGTGCCTGGGCCCTTCCCGGAGAGAGGGAGGCTGCTCCGTGGGGTGACTTGCTGCAGAACCGGCCTGAGTGGGCAAAGCCCTGAAAGTCGTGAGGTTCTATCTGTGGGCTTTGTTTTTAAATTCAATTCTTTTGGAGAATAGGTAAGCATGAGTCTGCTTCTAATAAGCTAAGCTTTTTTTTTTTTTTTTTAATGTAAACACGGTTCTTTCGAGCCTCAGATATTAAAAAAAGAAGACAAATGTACAAGACAGGTCGGAGGTTTCAGCAAATTGGTTTATGGCGCTGCGGGGGCAGTGGACGATGAGTCAGAACCCTGGCTCTGTCGGGGTTTACGAAGCAGTCTGTGGGTTCAACACAGTGGGAAGAAGAGGGCCTGGCAGCCCCGCCTCCACCTCTGTCGCTGCCTGGTACCCAGCACAGGAAAGTCAAGCTTCTTGCCCAGCTGGCCCCTCCCTCCACAGCCCCCAGGCCGAGCCCTAGAGGGCCAGTCTGGGTGGCCTCTGACCTGTGTCCTCCCCACCCCCTTCACCCCCACGTGGACATCAGCACACGCCTTATCCCTGATTCAGAGCGCAGTTTCTCCCAAGGACAGAGACCGCCAGTGCCAGCCTGCCTCCTGCCTGTCGCCCTCGCTCCCCGGCTCTGCTCCGCTCCCCTGAGTGGCCTGGCCTCCCTGGGCAGTCACCCACAGGGCCTGTGCACACACTACCTTACCCTGGGGTAGGCTTCCCACTTCGCCCCCGGGTGGTAGCCAGACAAGCTCCCCCTGGGAAGGCCTTGGTGCGCAGCCTGGCTGCGGTCTAGGGGCTGGGACCTGCCTACCTCTGCACATCTACCCTGTGGACACCGCCTCACCCCACGGTGCCACGTGATTCTTTTGGTCACCATCGGTTCCATCCCATGTTCATGGTCCGTGAACATGGGCGCTCTTGGCCTCGTTCCCTCCAGGAGCCCAAGTGAGCATCTCCTACCAGCGGATCCAAGAGGCCGGACCCAGCACGTGCCATGGTCGCCACGCGTGGGACACGCCAGGACTCGCCTCGCCGGTGTGACCACGCAGCCACTCCAGCCTTATCCGGGAGCCGCCCATGACTGACAGGAAGAACCAGAGGACGTGGATTCTGTGCTGCCTGTGGGCCAAGGGCGCTCGGCAGCCCCCGATGTGGGCTGCACCCAAGGACGGCTTGTGTGCTGATGGTTGCTGCGGAGGTCCTGCAGCTCGGGGTGGTAGGGTGTCGCCTAGGTGCAAGCCCTTCCCAGCGGCCGTGGGACAGATGCCCACACCAGGGGCTGGGCAAGTGGCTCTCCCTGCTCATGTCCACGTGGGGACATAGGGATGAGGAGACACCAGCCTTCAGGTCCCCTCGGGCTCTGGACCTCCCAGCCTTGCCCACACCCTCCTGAGGCCTCTGCTCCTCTGTGCAATCCTTGCTCCAGGAGGACTTGCAAGATGCAGACTGGGTGGGGTAGTTCTGCAGGCCACGGCCTGCCCACGTGCTCCGTTCCTCTACCCTCTGTGGGCACGCTCCTTCCTGCCTGGTGCCCTGGCTGTCTCTTCAGGAAGCTCTCCCTCCAGTCCCTGCTAGTCACTTGGCCAGTCGGTCTCCGGCCAGGTCCATGTCCACCGTGCCCCACCCCATCCTGGAGTCCACGGGGGGCCTAGCACACTAATGTGTGTGAGTCTCGTGGGCTCTCTGCCAGGGGGAAGGTGGAGACTGGCTGCAGGGAGCAGGTGATGGTGTGGGGCACCTGGCTTCCCTCCCTAGGGTCCTCCCCTCCGCCTCGGACCTCAGCCCTCGAGCCCTGGCAGCCTCGCCATGCTCCGTCCCCTCCTGGCTGGCCTGCAGGTCAACGCCTGCTGGGTGTGCAGCTCCCAGTCCTCCGTAGCAGGCGAGGCCTGGTGTACTTTACCAGATGGTGGCACCCAGCCCTGCCACTGGATTGCGAGAAGATCCCAGGCAGGGGATGGGGTGTGTGTTCTGGGCAGTCTGGGCCTTGCCTGGGCACCCGCTCTCCCCCATCGCTGGTGTCTAAGCCATGCATGAGTGCAGGGTGACAGGCTGCAGCCCCCCCAGTACCACCCACCAGAGATGCGGCGCTGTCGCCTGCCCTCAGCCTGTCTGCCCACTCCCGGCTTGCAGAAGTAACTGGGGCTGCTCAATCACACCATGCATGTCATGGCTAATCACAGTCAGCTTTTATTTAAACTTTGCAGATTTACAGAAAGCTTGCAGAAATAAGAGAGAGCTTCCATGACCCCAGCACCGACCGACAAGTCACAGCCGTGAGTGGTGTGAACGCAGTCCGGCCTGAGTGCCGCGCAGCGTCCAGACTCCACCGGCCTCCACCTGGAGTCCCTGCTGCTCCGGAGCCTCACCCAGAGCCCCAGGTCTTGTGCTTGCTCAGCTGGACAGTTGACAACTGTGACCATTTGAGGGATGTCCAGCTCGGCCAGTGCAGGCGAGGGTCGGGTAAAGGCCTGCATCACATCGGTGACACGCCTGAGCCAGATGCCCAACTTCCTCCGGGCTGAGGCTCCCCCTCCCAGCTCTGCTGCACTGCAGGCGCTGCAGGCCGGCGGGGCTCCGCCCCTGGGACCATGCAGTGCCTCACCCAGAGTCCTGCTCCCCTCGGCGTGGCCACTCACTGAGCACAGACTCGCGGACACGCACTCAGACATAGGGCTGCACCCATGCTACTCTGCTGGTCAGACCGCCCGCGCTGGCCTTTGGACCTTCCAACGGGCTCCTGTGACCCACACCATGGCCACTGCTTTCCCTAGGGGCGGGGTAGGTGGGCTGCCATGACTACAGCAAGGGGCAGACCCCAGAGGGCAGTGAGGACAGACTGCATTCACTCCAGGATACGAGCAGGCAGGGCTGGGCAGAAGGGGAGAGGAAGACCCTGCAGCCCTCCCACGCCGTTAGGCCCTGCGTACCCAAAGGCATGGAAGACGGCCATGGCCTCACCTGGGGCTCGGCCGGGCAGGGCGACCCAGACAAGTCACCAGCATAATACAGAGATGCCCAGGGCTGCGTAGCCCAGTGAGGAGAGGACGGTCAGGGGCTTCCTGGAGGCGGCGGCAGTGAGGGTGGGGAGACCTTAAGGAACAAGCTGGGTCATATGGCTGCTCAAGGCTGGGGACCAGGTTAAGAGAGGGTCCGGCAGAGGCAGCTGTAGGGGACTGGGCCCTTCTCCTGAACCAACTGCCCCATCTTGGCTCCCAGCTGGTGGTCCGAGGGTGCGCAGCTCCCCAGAGCCCTTCGGGAGAGCCTCCACCCAACCCTCTGAACCAAGCACAACAGGATTGAGGGGGGGCCCTCCGGAAGGGTCCTTCCTCATCACCCCACAAGCTGGGCCTGACCTCCTAGGCTGGTTTGGGGCCTTCCTCTGCGGTGGCCTGGGGTGGACCCCAGACAGCGACTAACCATCCCTCTCCCCGTGAGGTCTGTGGGGAAGAGCTTCACGAGGCTCCGTCCTGGCCTCCTGTGCTGACTGCCCTCGACAGGCTTCCGATGGCTTTCCCTGCAAGCCCGCAGGCCACCTGGACTCGAGTGCTAGTGATGATGTGCATGGCCCCACTGAATGCTGCACCGCGGGCGCCCGCCCTGCCCTGTGCTGGACAAAGGCCACAGGTCGAAGGGCAGCTAAGCAAAGCACGGGCTGGCTCCTGGCCATGGAGAGCCACAGGGTGTGCGGCTTCGCTTCTGTCCAAGGCCTGGGCGCCGACAGCCTCGGCGAACAGGTCCGAGAGTGGGTTGAGAGGACTGAGGCCGGGGGGCAGCTTAGAGTGTCGGCACAGTCTAGCCACCCTGCCTCGGAACAGTCGCTAGGCATGAAGAAGACAGGAAGTGAGCTCGGCTAGGGCCAGAGGGGCAGGTCTATGGAGACTGCAACGGGGCAGCTGTGGCGGCCAGGGTGCTGGGGAGGCCTGGCTGTCTCTGACTCACTCTCCAAGGGAGAAAGGCCACAACCCCCCAGCCCAGCAGTCCCAGATCAGCAGGGAGAGGGCGGACGGACCCACACTGCCTGCGTCATCGTCAGTGGCTCACTCTTCTGCAGCAGCATGCCTGCTGAGGGACGGTGACAGTGCCACCAGGGGCTGCCGGCAGCAGCTGGGGCATCACACTCCCTACCTGGAGTGGTGTGAAGCCTGGCACAGTCAGTCCTCTCAATTCAGGTGGCTTTGCACGGTGAGGTCACCCCCGTGAATCGACCAGGCCATGGCTAAAGGTGGCCCCGCATGGAATAGTGCGAGCAGTGGGTGGTAGCACAGCCACGGAGACTCCCAAGGACCTGAGTGCAGAGAGGTGGTGGCAGAAAGTAGGAGCCAGCTCAGGGAAGCCACATGCACATCGCGCACACACACACAGATGTAACTACACACGCACATATACACAAACACACACAGATGTACCTACAGACACACACACACAGATGTACCGACACAGACACACACACACACAGGTGAACCTATACAGACACACACACACACAGAGGTACCTACAGACACACACACACAGATGTACCGACACAGACACACACACACACAGGTGAACCTATACAGACACACACACACACAGAGGTACCTACAGACACACACACACAGATGTACCGACACAGACACACACACACACAGGTGAACCTATACAGACACACACACACACAGAGGTACCTACAGACACACACACACAGATGTACCGACACAGACACACACACACACAGGTGAACCTATACAGACACACACACACACAGAGGTACCTACAGACACACACACACAGATGTACCGACACAGACACACACACACACAGGTGAACCTATACAGACACACACACACACAGAGGTACCTACAGACACACACACACAGATGTACCGACACAGACACACACACACACAGGTGAACCTATACAGACACACACACACACAGAGGTACCTACAGACACACACACACAGATGTACCGACACAGACACACACACACACAGGTGAACCTATACAGACACACACACACACAGAGGTACCTACAGACACACACACACAGATGTACCGACACAGACACACACACACACAGGTGAACCTATACAGACACACACACACACAGAGGTACCTACAGACACACACACACAGATGTACCGACACAGACACACACACACACAGGTGAACCTATACAGACACACACACACACAGAGGTACCTACAGACACACACACACAGATGTACCGACACAGACACACACACACACAGGTGAACCTATACAGACACACACACACACAGAGGTACCTACAGACACACACACACAGATGTACCGACACAGACACACACACACACAGGTGAACCTATACAGACACACACACACACAGAGGTACCTACAGACACACACACACAGATGTACCGACACAGACACACACACACACAGGTGAACCTATACAGACACACACACACACAGAGGTACCTACAGACACACACACACAGATGTACCGACACAGACACACACACACACAGGTGAACCTATACAGACACACACACACACAGAGGTACCTACAGACACACACACACAGATGTACCGACACAGACACACACACACACAGGTGAACCTATACAGACACACACACACACAGAGGTACCTACAGACACACACACACAGATGTACCGACACAGACACACACACACACAGGTGAACCTATACAGACACACACACACACAGAGGTACCTACAGACACACACACACAGATGTACCGACACAGACACACACACACACAGGTGAACCTATACAGACACACACACACACAGAGGTACCTACAGACACACACACACAGATGTACCGACACAGACACACACACACACAGGTGAACCTATACAGACACACACACACACAGAGGTACCTACAGACACACACACACAGATGTACCGACACAGACACACACACACACAGGTGAACCTATACAGACACACACACACACAGAGGTACCTACAGACACACACACACAGATGTACCGACACAGACACACACACACACAGGTGAACCTATACAGACACACACACACACAGAGGTACCTACAGACACACACACACAGATGTACCGACACAGACACACACACACACAGGTGAACCTATACAGACACACACACACACAGAGGTACCTACAGACACACACACACAGATGTACCGACACAGACACACACACACACAGGTGAACCTATACAGACACACACACACACAGAGGTACCTACAGACACACACACACAGATGTACCGACACAGACACACACACACACAGGTGAACCTATACAGACACACACACACACAGAGGTACCTACAGACACACACACACAGATGTACCGACACAGACACACACACACACAGGTGAACCTATACAGACACACACACACACAGAGGTACCTACAGACACACACACACAGATGTACCGACACAGACACACACACACACAGGTGAACCTATACAGACACACACACACACAGAGGTACCTACAGACACACACACACAGATGTACCGACACAGACACACACACACACAGGTGAACCTATACAGACACACACACACACAGAGGTACCTACAGACACACACACACAGATGTACCGACACAGACACACACACACACAGGTGAACCTATACAGACACACACACACACAGAGGTACCTACAGACACACACACACAGATGTACCGACACAGACACACACACACACAGGTGAACCTATACAGACACACACACACACAGAGGTACCTACAGACACACACACACAGATGTACCGACACAGACACACACACACACAGGTGAACCTATACAGACACACACACACACAGAGGTACCTACAGACACACACACACAGATGTACCGACACAGACACACACACACACAGGTGAACCTATACAGACACACACACACACAGAGGTACCTACAGACACACACACACAGATGTACCGACACAGACACACACACACACAGGTGAACCTATACAGACACACACACACACAGAGGTACCTACAGACACACACACACAGATGTACCGACACAGACACACACACACACAGGTGAACCTATACAGACACACACACACACACAGATGTACCTACACAGACATACACACACACAGATGTACCTACACAGACATACACACACACAGATGTACCTACACAGACACACACATACACACACAGAGGTACCTACACACACACACACACAGAGATGTACCTACACAGACACACACACAGATGTACCTACACACATACACAGATGTACCCACACACATACACACATATGTACCTACACACACAGATGTACCTACACACACACACACACACAGAGTACACAAAGACACGCACACATGAAGACACACATAGATACAGAGACATAGATACGCACAAACACACATACACAAGACCACACAGAGAAGCACACAGAAAGACACACACAGACACACAAAAACACAGACAAACACACAGAGCGACCTCCTCAGGTCACACTGAGAACCCTTTCTCCCACCGGCCCAGCCAGGCAGCAGCGACCTGTGTCCGGCTTGCTCCAGGCTGCCTGCCGAGTACAGGAAGTGGCCAGGACTGTGAACACGGGGCCCCTTCTGATGTAGGGGTGGGTGATGGGGGTGGTCGGGCAGCCGCACCTCCAAGGCCGTCAGACGTGACCTTGGCCAGACTCAACTTCCTCAGGGCCTTCAGCCGGGCAAGGGCAGAGGCCGAGGGCTCCGGCGCGGGTCGAGGGTGGAGCAGCTTCTCTGGGATCCTGGATGCCACGGCACTCCTGGTCCTGTGGAGCGAGGACGTGGAATGGGGACAGAAGGAAAATGAGGCAGGTGAGCTCGTGACTGCGATCAGTAGGACATGACAGAGCAGGGGACAACCATCCACCCATGTTCCAGCCCACACAGGTGACCTCAGAGCAGGAGGGGACAGATGGGACTGGGTGACCGGGCGGAGTGGCCCCAGGACTCCCACTGGGTGACTCCAGCTCGCCGGCATGGTCACAGCTGCGCCACCTGCTGGTGAGGGGCTGGGGCACCTGCTG